CCCCCCCAAAAAAAAAAAAAAACATGATAGAGAAATTGCCAAATTGTTATTAGATGAACACATGAGTGAGCTTCAATATATTATTATTATATATTAAATATATAAATTGAAGAATTTGTGTATAAATTGCACATAAGTGTGGTAATTTTTTTATTTTATTTTTAAATATAAGAATAATTTTTTAGTAATGTTAAAGATCTCAAAAGTTTTATAGACGTATTACACTACAGTTCCTATAATTTGAAGCTCGTGTCACTTTGTCCCTAACTTTTCAATTGTGACACATTTGACCATAATTTTGAATCTTTTTCTAAATAAGAACAATTGAAGATACATAGACTTTTTAAGGGCAAAATCGAATTTGATAAAATATAAATAATTTGACAAAAATAAATGTCAAAAAATATTTTTAAAATTTTCAAAATTATTTCTACCCAATAAAGAAAATTATGTAAAATTAATAAATCTTTTAGACATTATTATTTATTTATTTATTTTACCAAATTAATTTTTATTATATTTTGGATGATGATCATTAATGGGTGGTTGTTAAGCTTTTAATGTGTAATCGATATATTTAATATATGAAATATTTTTAGTTGAATTTTTTGATTTAATGATTGGTTTAATAATGATATCAAATTTGTCGCCATATTTGACTTTTGAAAAAAAAGAAACTAATTTAATGAAAACAAAAAACGTCACCCATTACATGATTATCATCCAAACACAAAATAAAAAAATTAATTTGGTAACAAATAAATAACTAAATGCTAAAGATTTATCAATTTTACATAATTTTATTTTAGTAAGTAGAAATAATTTTTAAAATTTTAAAATATTTTTTTGACATTTATTTTTGTCAAATTAGTTTATATTTTACCAAATTAAGATTTGCCTGTAAAAAATCTAATGATATTTCATTGTCCTTATTTGATACAAGATTCAAAATTTCAGATCAAATTGTCACAATTTAAAATAGAGACCAAAATAATAAAGGCCAAATTATAGGGACCGTTAGTATAATTCATCAAGTTCTATTAAATTTTTTATCAAACGTCTTACCTGAATGTGAAATTCACATCATATAAGTCTTATATAAATCATATTATATTGAGCATATTAAAAATTTATAAAACTTTTACAACTTCTAACCGTTATATATATATTATATATATTATATATATAATATTATATATTGTGTGGCCTATAACGGTACACTACAAAAAATACAGCTTTTAGTGGCGTTTGTAAAACGCCGCTAATTATCTCAAAAACGCGCTAAAACCTTTGATGACGTTTTTAATATACGGCCTTAGATTGACGGCCGTCGTTATATGTTGTGAACGTTTAAAAAAATGCCGTTTAGACCTTATGCGACGTTTTAGAAAACAGTCATGCTATACAATCACCGGCGGTGATTCCTTCCGGCGGGATTGACGTCAAATAGACCCTATACGGCGTTTTTTTTAGCAAAAACGCCACTAAAAGGCACTTTTTCCTTTTTTTTTTTTTTTTTTTGGGGGGGGGAATGCAACCGCTAATGAAATTTACCATCGGGGCAATAATATTTTATTTATTGCTAACTCAGCTAGAATTCTCAAACCCTGTTCACAAAAACTATATAATTCAACAAACACATCAAAATTGAATTCTACAAAAATCACAACCATTCAAATATACTCCTTCATCATCTCAAAATTTAAAATATTAAGAAAAGAATAAATGTAACAAAAAAAAAAAAATGAAATTAGTAGCAAATAAAATATTATTATCATGAATACTGCAAGAGAAAGTACCCTTGAGTGTAAAAGCCAATACAGCACATTGTTATTATCATGGACCCATATAATTTTAAGACAGACACCGAAAACCAACAGTGATAAAAAAAAAAAAGGTTAGTCACAGAATATCTCCATAATGCTCTCCAGACACGTAGTTTGTTCTTGGAGAAATTGGACATGGGACAGGTAGCTACAATTTAAAAACTCAAAAAATAAATAAATAAATAGATTTAATTCTAGTTGTTAAAATTTTGGCTTCTGGCCTTGAAATTTGTATAGTTGTTTTTTGCCCTGGTTTTGGATATTATGCTCATGTTCTTCACCCTCAAATTGAAAAACCTGGAGTCAAATTTAAAGAGAAAAGAAAAGAAAATCCATCAGAAAAAACATAACAAATGCAAAGAAAACTTGCTAACACCACCAAAATAATTATTTAATTTCTTCCAGAAAACCAGTTAAAAAGGATCCCCAAAAAAAATTTGTCATTACCAAAAAATTATAGGTTAATCACACAATACCTCCTCAACTATTAAAGAATACCATCAGGTTTAACTCCTTTATACCATGTCAACATTGACATGTAGTATCACCAACCAATAATAAAACTACATATGGGAGGTGAACCCCACTATTCAAATGTAACAACCCATTCCAACATAATTTTTGTAAACTACTGCATAGCGGGACGATCATACATACATGGTAATTTTATAAAGTCGGTGTGGCATGCTATCACCATCTGTAAGTGAATTTTTTTCTTCCAAGAGAGGAATTTACACGGTTTTAAATAGTTGAGGGGTTAACTGTATCGGTTCATAGGATGGGGAGACGTTAAACCGAATATTCGCTTCAGTTGAGGGAGTCTTAGTGTAGCTAACCCTATTTTATAAACCCGAAACAAATTAAAGGTCAAATCATCATAAGATGGGATCAGCCAAAGAAATCTCCACAACTTAAGTTGAAAATTTTCTTGAATTGGATGCACTGTAGGACATACACAAAAATCACCCATACTTGACTGAAAAGCAAAAAGCAACATTACCTGAATGTGTGAAAAAGCCCTGAACCAAATTCACTCAATCCAACATTGAATCAGCACAGTAACTAACTGTATATTGTTCCTAAGAAGACAATGGTAGCCTGGTGATTCCAGAACCAAATGAGGAAAGCCACACTTTTCAAGGAAAAAGAATCAGAAGGAAATAGTTTCTTAAAAGGGGTCCAACATACCATGCAACCACAACTGCTATTGGAAACATCTTAGAATATGCTTTTCTCCAGATCTCGTCTATCCGAAATCTATTCCCAATTCCAACAATTAAAACCCCAGTAAGCTGGATAAGCATTTAATGCCAATAAAAAATGTTCAGATTTTATGCAATCATACTAACCTTTCTTCTTTGCAGCAGCAGCTCCTTTTTTATTCCAGCTAAAACGATGCCAGGAAACCCAAAGTCAGTTATCACGTTCAAACCCTCAATTCTAATGAAAATTACGAACTCCAGACTATTAAGTATCTTAGTTTCAGTACTTGAAAACTGTCATTCAATTTCAAAATGGACTTTTCAGTAAGACCTCAGGCCATCTCCCCAAAATAGATTAATGTTATGGTAGATATACAAAAAACCCATAAAAATAAAACTTTGTAGCCCACCAGAGAATGTAATTATTGGCCAAGTTATTTTTTTTCTTTTGCTATTTTAGGATTTCATCAGAGTGAAATTCATAATTGCCTAAAGTTTTAACAATGCCATTATATTTATTAAAAAAGTTCAAGGTTAGAAACTGTCACAAACCATCATTTTGGCTCCAATTTTCCAATGCCTTCTTCGAAACTTTCGATAGCCAGCACTATATCATTAAGTGCCATGTATGCCTGTAGTTCAATACACGATAATCATAAGGACTACAAATTGAGTCAATAGGACAATATGCAATCCACAATGCATACAAAGCCAAATTGGGAGTTGGCCAGCAAGACAAGGCCTCCCATACCCTACCTAATACTCACATAATTTAGTAAACACATGAAGTTTGTGGACAAATGCAACTAAAAATTTTTAGTAAACATTAATAGATCATGATTAAACATTTAGCACACATGGGGTGCGAGTGGATGTCCTCTGAAAATAACAATTTATAGCCTATATTCATTATACATTAGAGCTTGAAGGCACATATTATAGCTCCCAAGTTGCGGCTACCAAAGAAAATTTGCAGTAAACATAACATCTAATGTTATTGCAATAATAATTTTATTTAAATTTCAATTAAGAAACTAGGCTGTGAATGATGTAACCATTTCAAAGCAATAATGTTTTTGAAAACCAGAATAAATCAAACAAAGGCAACCACATAAATGGGTGCAAAATTTTATCGAGAAAACCCTTTCTCTTAGCAATTAATACATCATCATTCATCATCATTAGTTATGAGCAAAATAAGCAAAAATATTCATGCCATTCCTCTCTAATTTGGTCTCATAGTATCTCTTTTAAAAAGATAAAGAAGGTACAGACAGATAGCCAACCATTGCTTTAGCAATTAATGGGCCTATTGGAGACATTTAACAAAACATGAAGATGGAAAAACATTCCAAAACAGGGGCCACATTTTAATGCTTTAACAACATTTGAAATTATATTGACAGTGTTTTCCCAATCTTAGCTGGAAAACAAACCTAAAATAACCTTCATTTAGCAACAAGCAAAGAACACTGAACATATTATGAGAATCCAAAAAACTTCACAATGATTGGTTAAAATGCAAGACACAAAGTAAACAAATACCCTTTTTAAACAATTTATGCATGAGCTAGCCATAGTCTATAAGGCCTAGTTATTGCTTATTAATAAAATGAACAAGAAAAGTGCAACTCTACTTACTCAAGCCAGACCAAAATGACGTACTAGGCTTGCTTCCAAACTCAAACATTTCTTAATTTTCTCAGGTTCCAAAATATCTAACTTAGGCTGCTCAAACTCAACATTTCTTAATTTTTCTCAGGGTTTCAAATATCTCATTGTTTATCTCATCTCTTACAAATTCCTAGTATTTGATTTCCCTATGCTAGTGCAAACTCTCAAGAAAATAGTGCAAAAATGGAACTACCTTCTTAATGGCGACCCCTCTGCGAACTTTTGCAGACCCAAAACAAGCAATAAGCTTCATATTATACTATATATACATACAATACACTTGAGGGACATATCTTAGAGTTGACATGAACAAATTTAAAAATACTTTAAGTAAAAAGCAATGTCTTGTGCTCTGTTTGGCAAAACGAAGAAACGAATTCAACATTGAAGCCCACCCAAAAAAAAAGGAGAGAGAGAAAAAAAAAATCTTGTTAAAAACATGAGGCATAGACCACATCTTGGAGCTTTAAAATCTTGATTTCGATCAAAAATCTCCAAAACAAAGTATATAAATTCAAATGCTAATGAAGGACTGGTTTTTGCTTTTTGTGAAGAAGATAATCCGGAAAAACATGGAAATCAAATTTTTAGTTGATGAAAAAAATATGTGATTTTGAATTAGTTTTGCATAAATGTGCTTGACATTATCTGAACTTAACTTTTTGGATGAGGGTTTGACCTGCCAAACTCGATTTGAGCTCTTTCAATGGCGGTGTATAGACTGAAGCAAGATCGAATGAGCTTGAAATTGGTCTACTTGAAGCCAGGATTGATAAGGCTGAGCTGTTGATGAAGGACACAGCACCACGCTTTCAAGCCCCTGAACAGTGTTCTGTTGATACCGAGGCTTGGATGCAACTCCGATCGCAGCAACATCATCTCTATCACCACTCCTTCTTTCCATTTGCTTGTGTGATCAAGGAACTCCATCCCAATGGGTGCGGCATAAAGAGGAAGAGAACGAAAATTAGAAGAAAGAAGCAAACACAAAAGTGGCAAAAGAAAAAAAATGCTAGATTTCAACCAAATCGAGTGAAGAAGAAACTGATATTTACAGAACATCAACTGTAAATACATTGCCAGATTCGTTACTTTTTTTAGCCATGAACTACACAGATTTGGTGAATTCAACAAATCCCTACTTGAGCCATGCCGCACCCAAACACGAAGATGAACGAGCCCGTAGATCGATTTTAAAATTACAGAGATTTCGAAACAATTAACTAGATAACGGTCAAAATCTCTCTAAAAAAATCTATTTTCCAAAACGATTTGCCGGATTTGAACTCTTCGGTGATTTATCAATCTCACATTGCACATTGTGAGATCAGATTAAGAACCGACACGTAAGGGTCGACCCCTTAAACTGTGATTTCTCTCTTCTCTTTCTAAAGCCCAAATTTTCCTGCTCGAGCGTGGAGGCCAAAATCTGGGCATAAACTATTTGTTTCTAAACACAACCAACCTATTTCAAACCTGCCCAACACAACCCAAAACTCAAATACAAAGAGTAAAGGATGGAAATGCAATACAGACAACAAAAATCACCCACAGAACCGAGTCCAGGATACAATAAACAATGAAGCAAAAAACCGGGATCGCTATACTAAAGCCAACTCTAATGAGTTGGCAATGGGTCCTATCTATTGCTAATGTGACGTATGTTCAATATTTCTTTTTTTAACTCCATGCCAACTCATTAGAGCTGCTGTTAAAGAAGCTCCTTTAAAGCTCCCAATCACAATTGATATTTGAAAGGTGATTCAGATGAAAAATCCATTTTAAATTTTTTTTTTTTTTTTTGTATCATTGATTCAGAAGTATCATAATTTTGTGCAAAAATTTTGATATATGATATTTGTGAGATTTAAACCAGGGTAATATTGATGTAGTGACTACATATATCAAACCTTTAGAATTACTCACTGCAGGTTATGGTGGATAATTTCTTATATGCATGCATTGCCTTATCTTTTGCTAATTATTAGAATTATTCTTTAGCAGTAACAGGCGTGAAGGCGTGAAGGCGAACTATATCAATTTTATGGACCATTCCCAATTTTATGACACGAAATGTATGCTGGTTCATTCTTTTCTGACTTTATTTCAATTGTTATTTAGTCATTTCTCTCTGTTTTACTGTGATTTTGGTTATTATTCCCGACAATAAGGTCGTTGGAGTCTATGGTAGGGGCTGGTTTTTACATGGCTCACCATTGCAATTGATTATGATAAATCATTACTATAATGCACACTGACAATGTGTTGTCAACCCAACACAGTAATACAATTACAAGGAAACTCCCCCCCCCAAAAAAAAAGAGAGAGAGAGAAAAAAAAAATCTTGTAAAACAGAGCATAGACCACAGCTTGGAGCTTTAAAATCTTGATTTTCGATCAAAATCTCCAAAAACAAAGTATAAAATCAAATGCTAATGAAGGACTGGTTTTGCTTTTTGTGAAGAAGATAATCCGAAAACGGAAATCAAATTTTTAGTTGATGAAAAAATATGTGATTTTGATTAAGTTTGCATAAATGTGCTTGACATATCTGAACTTAACTTTTGGATGAGTTTGACCTGGCCAAACTCGATTGAGCTCTTCAATGGCGGTGTATAGACTGAAGCAGAGATCGAATGAGCTTGAAATTGGTCTACTTGAAGCAGAGATTGATAAGGCTGAGCTGTTGATGAAGGACACAGCACCACGCTTCAAGCCCCTGAACTAGTGTTCTGTGATACCGAGGCTGTTGGATGCAACTCTCGATCGGCAGCAACATCTCTCTATCACCACTCCATTCTTTCCATTTGCTGGTGATCAAGAACTCCATCCCAATGTGCGGACCATAAAGAGGAAGAGAACGAAAATTAGAAGAAAGAAGCAAAACACAAAAGGCAAAAGAAAAAAATGCTAGATTTCAACCAAATCGAGTGAAGAAGAAACTGAATTTACAAACATCAACGTAAATACATTCCAGATCGTTACTTTTTAGCCATGAAACTACACAGATCTTTGGTGAATTCAACAAATCCCTTACCTTGAGCCATGCCGCACCCAAACACGAAGAAGAACGAGCCCTAGATCGATTTAAATTACAGAGATTCGAACAATAACTAAGATAAACGGTCAAATCAGATATAGAACCAGCTTTTCAAGATCAAGATGACGAAGAATCGATCCAAATCGAACCACCAAGTGTTGATCGCTCTCTTTCTCTCTCTGTATCTCTCTGAAGTCGCCTCTCTCTCTCTCTCTCTCTCTCTCTCTTGGACTCCTACGACTCTTAAAAGCAAAAAAAGAAATTTAAAAGAAAAATAAGTACTTTTATCTAAACTAAACTACACCGTTTTAACCATAGCCCAACGTTTCAAAACGTTGTCCTACCATTTACCGATGACCGGCGTGTAGAAAACAAAATTGTGTGCTAGATTTTTCATATTTTACAGCGTTTTAAAAAACGCTACTAAATAAACGTTGTTGTATCCCCTTTTTCTTGTAGTGGTAGTAATAAAGATGAGAGAAGAAGTAATGAGCGAAGCACTACCGCGTAAAGAGATGAAAAGAGTCTGATTCCGGGAAGAGAGAGGGACCGGGCAGAAATGTTACGGTCGGCGCATAAACCAATGATTCCACACTCAATGCTCGCCATTATACATATTAATGCTGATATTGTGCATGATGCTGTATACTTCTCACTCATTCTTGCCTGTATTATTATTATTATTATAATCATGACAATTCCATCCATTAGAGCATCTCCAACGGTGTACCAAATATTTCACTAAATCTGTGTAAAAAATGGGTCATTTCCTTAATTTGATACTTCGCGCTCCAACGGTTCAACATCAAATCCGTTTCATCAAATTTGCGCTGGGCAACCGGTTGGTTGACCGGCCGGTCGACCGGCTGGTCAACCGGTAATGGCAAAAAAATTTTTTTTTTTTTTTTTTTTTACCCGTTTGAACCTTTTTTTTTGGAACTTTTTGAACTTTTGGTGGTCGACCGGGTGGTCAACCGGCCGGTCGACCGGGTGGTCGACCACCTAGGCAAAATTTTTTTTTTTTTTTTTTTTGGACTGGTTTGAACTTTTTGTGAACGGTCTGAACTTTCTCCGGGGCGACCGGTTGGTTAACCGGTTGGTCAACCGGATGGTCGACCTGTTCGTCTCATCCCAACGGTTAGGAACAGTGATTTGCTGAAATGCTTCGCCTGCACTCAGTTTGGTACCATTTTTGCTGAATTCTGGATTTGATATCGATTTGGTGAAACCGTTGGAGCGTTAAAAAGTGGGTTTTTCATCAAAATTTAAATCTGATGCTGGGTTTGGTTCACCGTTGGAGATGGTCTTACCCCCAATAATTAAATAATTACATAAATAAAATTCAAAATTATACTAAGACGGTGTTTGATAAAATTAAAAATTAAATGTTAAATTTTTTAAATTTAAAAGTTATTTAATAAAAATTTAAGTGTTAAACCAAAAATAAATTGTTTGATATGAATAAAATTAAATTTATTATTTATTATTTTAAAATTATATATTTTAATTTTTATATCATGATGGTGGTAGTAGTAATAGTAGTGATGGTATGATGGCGGTGGTGGTTGTAGTGGTGGTAGCGGTTGCAATGGTAGTAATAGTAAAATGATAATAATACTTATGACAACATTGACAATAGTGATAAAAGTGGTTGTAGTAATAGTGGCGGTGGCGGTAGAGGTGATGGTGGTGATAGTGGCGGCAGTGATTGTAGTTGTCGTGATAGTGGTAATGGTAGTGGTGGCCGTGGCAGTGGTAGTTGTGTTGGTAGTGATAGTGATAGTGGTAGTAGTAATAGTAGTAGTAATGGTAGCGGTGGTGGTAGTGGCAGCATTGTGATGGTGGTAGATAGTAGTAGCGTCGATAGTGGTGGTGGCACTAGCATGATGGTAGTGGTGGTAGTAACGGTGGTGACAATAGCAGTGGCGAGTTTATAATAATGTATATTGATATTTATATTTAGTATTTATAAATTCAGTCAGAATTAATTAAGTTTTATATGACTTAAATTTTTTTTTTTTTAAAAAAGTTTACATTTTAAGAAATACTTAAAATTTTAAAAATATCAATTGTGGCTATCAAACGGGCTTAATTGATTATTACTTAATACATTAATTTTAAGTGCTAAGTCATATTATTAAACACCTCCTAAGTTAATCAATGTATTAGGCATTATATCAATTACAAAAAAAGAAAATGTTAAAAATAACTGTTCAAATGTATAAAAATGTTTTGTGATATGTGAAAACTGTATTGTGGTTATAATTTTTTTGACATTTAACTGATTGCCAGTAGTTAGGACTGCCATTTGTAAGACCAAAAATAAAATAGTAAGTATTACTAATTTAGTATTTATAAATTCAATTAGAATTAAGTAAGGTTCATGTAACTTAATTTTTTTTAAGGATAAAATAGTTTTTATAAAGTTTCAACAAAATGTATTCCATAAATAGTTTGTACTTGTGTGTGTGTGTTTAGCTGTCAATCTTAGTGATGGTAACAATGTGAGAAATGTTTTTCATTTAAAATATATATATATATATATATATTTTGTCAAGAGGAACATGTTTTTCCCCATTAATCATAAAAATTAAAAAAAAAAACTTTTTATTTGACTTTAGTTTTCTTTGTATGTAGCAAAGGCTAAAAAACATATAGAAAACATTTTAGAAAATACTTTTTTCATAGTTGTCAAATCGGAATTCATATCGTGAATCAAAATGGTCTTTTACCGAATTGTGAATTGAATCGAATCATGAATCGTAAAGATTCGGTCACATTTCTACACATTTAGATGTTAAATATATGTTATGAATATAAAATATTTAGACTTAAATCAATAAAAATGTTATTTTGAATAATAATCAGGTAACTTAATAGGTAAGAAGTTAACAAAGGTTTCTATGTAAGATCACCATATTACATTTTTTCTTTTTTAGATATTTCTTATAAGTCATTCTTAATAAAGATGTAATATCACCATCTCGCGTTTTTTTCTTTTTTAGATATTTCTTATCAGCCATTCTTAATAAAGATAGTAACCAAATAGACAAACTATTAATTTCCAAAGTAACAATAATTAACAACAATGTTGATATTTGGACAATAAGCATATATACTTTTCTAAGTAACAATGAACAAATAATAAGAAGGAATTATTTAAAATATTATATTTTAAAGGTTAAAACATTTTAAAAAGTATAATTGGCCTCACACATATAATATTCAATTTAATAAAATAGTAATAGATAATTCATAGTGTAACTTTAATCTTAAACATCTTTAGAATATATATTATGATTTTTTAAAAGGAAAAAAAATGAGAAGAAAGGTTAAAAATATGTTAGGTCGGATTGAATCTGATTGGATCCTATTAAAAACTTTATGATCACTAAATAATAATAAATCATGTATATATGTTGGTTATTTTAGTTTGAACGTTATTAAAAGTTGTATTATGCCATTTTCACTAAAAAAATGAAGAAAAAAAGAGTCGAAAATATGTCGTACACAATAATTTCAAAAATTGCATGAATCGTAAAAAGTGAATCGAATCATGAATCGATTGTGAGTCGTGCGATTCACTAGAGATTCACTTCCAAAATAGATTCACCCATAGATTCGTATCGATTTTGCAAAAATTACGAATCGAATCGTGAATCGAATCGTAAGATTATGATAACAGAACTTTTTTTCTAAAAATACAGAAATCAATCACAGAATTAAATATAATTATTCCACATTTCAATCCTCCTTATGTAAAATAAATTATACAATTTTGTGATTTACTCTTGTATTTATAAATATTTTTTAGCATCTTTGGGAAAAACAAGCATTAATTGGTAAATAAATTGTAGTGAGTGATTTATGGTTGGTTAGTGAAGTTGCTTACTTGGATAATGAACCAAATTGCCCAAGAGACAGTGCTAGCTATGATTAGAAAGGGGCCCAAGATGAAGCTGTTGGAATGATGATGGTTAGTAGAGTTTTCTTTCCCCATGTCATCTGCATACTTCCAATGAATGCTTGATTCCCCAATCACTCCATGCCCATGGTAAAATGACAACAGCATTGCTCCACCTACACACACCACTGCCCCCAATATATAGGAAAATGTTTGAGGGCCTTAATTTCTGTGGCTCAAATGGTTTAAATTTGCTAAAACGACGTCGTTTTGACAATTTTGATGTTGTTTTGTACTCAAAACGACGTCGTTTTGACAAATTCGAACCATTTGAGCCACAAAAATTAGGGTCCTCTATCATTGTTGATCTTTGCTTGTCCTGCCTTTCTCTTCATTCCCACACTTTCCAATCTACCAAACATCATCATCATTATATACTAATTTATACCATAATTACCCTGAAGAAGAAATATGTTTGTATACAAACATGAGTAATAAGTTAAAATAAAAATGGGGTAATTGAAAAAAAAAACAACAAATTAATGGAGTGCAAGTAAAATGTGTCAAGTATAAGTGAGAATTGTCTCCCGAGATCAGGGCATACCCATAAATTTTAAAAGTATGAGTCAAGGTGAAATTATTTAAATTTTGAAGGCCAAAGTAAAAATATATGGGGAGTTTCTTGATAAGTTTCATACACAAAGTTCAAAATCCATCTAGTCCCAAACACAAAACACTTGCACCAATTAGTCTCACATATTTTTAATTGTTATAAAAAAATCTTAATTTTTTTTCTTAAAACGCTGCTATATCCTACAACCACCGAATTTCCATCAGATAGTCATTAGAGACTCGCCAAAATGTTTCACATCACTAGGAAGTTGCCAGAATATCACAGGAAATTTGCCAAAATGTCTAGAATATTGCCGAAAAGAAGAAGAATAAATTGAGAAATTAAAGTGAGAAAAATATAGCAAAATGTGTTAAATCTATCTATCTATCTATACTATTATAAAGTGAACACTCCTTATGGTGTCTTGAAGCCTTTGTTTCTTATGCTGCCACGTGTCTATTTTTTTATTTGAAATAAAAAAAAATTGGATAAATAAGAGGAGGGGATTTAAACGTTAGACTTATGTCAAAGGAATAAGACTCTTACCAATTTACTAGCACACAATATATGATAAATGTTTTATTTTTTTTTATTTATTTGAATTGCACACGCATCGCGTGTGGCAACCGCTAGTATTAATAAACTGAAGGAAGAAAAAAAAAATCTAAGAACAACAAACAACAACAGTAGAAAAATATATATATGTTATTTTTAATTTTTGTAGGGTTTAAGCAAATAATTTTTAATATTGATCAAACTGAAAAGTAAGTTTTGAAACTGTAAAATGTTACAGTTTCAAAATATGGTTCTATTAAGGCCAAGTTTGGCATGTGTCCAAAAAATTACTCAAAAAGTTAAAAAGTTATGACTATTCACCAAAAGTAAAAAAGTACGACTGTACAACTCCCAATCATAATTTTTCCATACACACTAATTTATACAATTTTTTAATACACATTTTTCCATAAAAAGTTAAAAAGTTAACTCAAACAACCATATTTTTTTCCTCAACTTTTTAGTTCAAAAAGTCAAAAAGTACACTTATTTAGGACATCCCAAACAACCCAAGTATTTATCTTTATTAATCAAACTGAAAAATTTGTTATGAAATTGCAAAATTTTTACAATTCTAAAGAATGATTCATTTTAGCCACAAAAAAAAAAAAAATAAAAATTTGAAACTATAAAATTTTATAATTTTCACCGCCTGCAATTAAAACTCGAAAATAACTTGTTTAAAACTCGAAAATTTTCTCCATTATAACAGGAAAATAGAAGTGTGTAGTACAGAAAAAGTATTAAAGCTGAGAAATCGAAGGAAAGAGATAGATATAGATAGATGCTTGTACTCCGACAACTTCACCGTCGGTGAGCACGAAGCAAGTAGTTTGTATTCGGTGGTTGCTCGTGAACCCTAATTAATGGTGGTCGCCGGTCACCCATGACTGTAGATTAAAAAAAGAAAGAAAATAAAGAAGGTGTAGTCGTGGTCGTGATTGTGATGGTGGTCGTCGTTGCTAATATAAGAGAAAGAGAGATAAAGAGAAGAAATAAAGTGTAAAAAAAGAGGAGAAGATAAATAGGTATAGTTAAGTCTATCTAAAAAATTTTAAAATTAAATAGAATACACAGTTTTTAAAAATTACTTAGGAGTAATTTGTCCAAATACATCTATTTTGTGGGCTATTTCTTTGATTTTCAAAACTCCAAAGTTGTTTGTCGTGAGGTTTTTTGTTTTTTGTGTCCTCAGTAAACTTTTTTCCCCCCCTCATATTTTAGTCTATTTTTTCAAACATTTTTAGATTTTACAAATGTTTGGTAAAAACAAAAAGAAAATAAATAAATTTCTTTGCTTTTTTTATCTTTGGTAAATCTTTTTTAATTTTTTTCATTAATATTTACTTTTTAGATGTAGGTAGATTACTTGTATTTAAAAAGTAAAAAGATTTGTCTAAAATATGAAAGAAATTTACTTTAAAAGTAAAAAACCTTAAAAGTAGTTTTCAAAAACTAAACAAAACTTATACTCAAAATACCGTGGGATCTAATGAATTGTTTATTTATTTATTTTTATTTTTAATTTGGTGCCGTGGTCCCGGCCAAAATACAACAATAATTCATCCCCCTTTTTCCCCCACCCCCTTTGACCCCCTCTCTCTCTCATTGGTTACATTTTCTTTTTCTTTTTCTTTTTTTCCTGCTCCTCTAATCACCACCCACCACGTGGCAAAGGGGGTGAGGGGGTGACCCCCAAAAGGGGGTCCCAAGCATTATTCGCCAAAATAATGTTCCCGGCCAAAATAATGTCCACAGTGTATACAATTCTCGCTTGCACTTCGTCGATTAGTAATTAATTATTATTATTATTATTATTATTATTATTATTATTATTTTTTTTTTTTTTTTTTT